GGAGTGGAGGCAGGATAGTCAAGAAAAGGAACTCGTGCAGTTTGCCTAGCTAATAGCTTATAAAAGTAGAAGATGAAAGAGCCTTTTCTAGTAAACACTGATGAATAAATTTAAAAAAAAATACATGACACACAAAAGTCTAAATACTTAATTATTGGGCAAATAAAGAGCTTCAATACTACCAATGATTATAAGACTTTCCACGCCTTTTACATGAACACTAACCATGAATGTAAAAAAGATGTTCAGCCTAATACCAGAATATGCTTAATATATACCACCAATAAGATAAGCATTGATTCAACTAACAGCGTAATTTACCATTTGCTACCCCTATAGTCAACATTGTTTTTGGAAATCTGTAATTTGCTACCATTTGCTACCCCTATAGTCAACATTGTTTTTGGAAATCTATTTAAAAATATACAAATATTGGGTTAACTGTCATAATTTCATTAGAAAACAGGCCTACTTTTTATTTATTATTCTAGTCATTAGGTTAGTGCTAAGCAACCATTCACCCTGCCTCAAATTAGACTAGTGAATCTCTAAAATGACAATTTAAAATATAATGCTTAAAAGCACACTTTTTTCACAACCTGAACATTGTGAACTTTCTAACTTAGGCAGCATCTAAATGCTACTTTCTAAGTTCATTATGGTCTGTCTAGGAAGTCAACTGCTTGCAGATTTACAGATAGTGGCAGCCTGCAGGGAATTACTGTATCTTATAAGGATTACGTTGCTAATAATACAACCCTTCAGAGGCTTTATCTCCAGAAATAGCCACTCTCCTGAAAAGCAGCATTAGCAGCTGAAATCAGAATTCCACACCAGCTACCAGCAACAATCAAAGATGCAGGACAATAATTGTAAAAGGCAAAGTATGAAAGTATTTGAAATAAGCATGGACTGAGGCAAGCAATTGGGGATTCTTATTATTTCTCTTACAGCAGTGCTCACAATGAAAGATACTCTCTCAACATTTTGAAATAGAATTGCTCATTGAAATCACTGCTTAAAAAAAAAAAATCAGCAACAAGATGGGAGTCAAAGAGAAAATCCCTAATCCACAGAGTTTAAAATCTAAGATACACACAAAAGAGGAGAACCCATACAATGAAGAATATGTAAATTTTAAACAAACAATTATTCCCATCCAACCCTCTAACAAGCCATTAATAGTCCTGCAGCACCTTATAGGCCAACAAAAAACGGATAGTATCACAAGCTTTCTGAGCACAACCCCCTGCAGCACCGTATAGTATCACAAGCTTTCTGAGCACAACCCACTTCTTCATCTGAGCCCAGGAAAGCTCATGACTACATTTTTGGTAGTCTCTAAGGGTAGTCTGTGTCTTTACAGCAGCGTTATTTTGGAATAATGGCCATTATTCCAAAATAATGTGAGTCTCTACAGAGCGATTCCGTTATTTTGAAATAAATTCAAAATAACAGATAGCTTATTTCAATTTCTGTCAATCCTATTCCATAAGGAACACTATTTCAGTGTGTTCCAGGGCCATTCAAAGTAATTACTCCCCAGTGCCTCCAAGGGCTCTAAATCGAGGTAACGTCCACATTAGGGCTGCCTGACTCAGACTAATTTTAAGGCTTCCCTGTAGTGTAGATGTGCTATTTTGAAATAAGCTATTTCAGAGTATTTCTTCCAGAATAGTTTATTTCTAAATAAGTGTACAGTGTAGACTACCCTAAGACGCTGCAGGACCATTTGCTGTTTTTTTAGTTACAGACTAACATGGCTACCCCCAACGCTTTCAAGCTCTTAACGGTTAGCTGTTTTTGATTATTGTAAGTTTCTTTTGATAGTCAATGGAATCACCTCCCATTTCAATAAAATGGAAATCTCTTAAATAAACTATGACTGCTGTTCCCCTCTGAGACAGTTAGGTTTTCCATTTGGAGAGTGTTTTTCTGGAAACATTTGTGTTAAGCTGTCCAAAGCAATGGGTTTTTGGTAGTTGGCACAATTTCAAGAGCTCTTTCTAAAGAAATATGGACATTTCAGGAGACAACTTCATGGGCTGTTTTATTAGCATGCCCTGAAATCTTTGAACCCACTTCCCCTTCCACCTGCACCAGTGGAACCCCTTAGCTTCAATGGAGTTATTCCTGTTGTACACCAGTATAACAGAGAAAAAAAAGCATCAGGCCCAAATGCACATTTCCTGTTCAAACAATACAAAGGGCTTTTGGTTTGCCTGTTTCCATTAAGTCTCTATCGCAGTGGTGGGGAACCTAAGATCCAGGGGCAAGATCTGGTGGCTCCTGGCTTGCTTGGATCTGGCCCCCAAGTCTCAAGGCTTCCCCCTTCACCACTGGGGAGTGCACACTGGCCCCCGCGCCCCCCCCCCCCCCCCCCCCCCCATCTCCCAGCAGAGCTGGAGCACATACAAAATCTACTAGGCTGGGCCTCCAAAGGGGCATAAGAAGAACATGAGGAGTGTCTCTCTCTTTTTTAGTTGAGGATCTCGTCAGTGAGGGTTTCTTTTTTGCTTCTAACTTGTGTGTGGCCCCCAACTGATTTTTCTGTGGGTTGGCAGCCCCTGATGCAAAAAAAGGTTCCCCACCTCTAGCAGAGCTGGAGCACATACAAAATCTACTAGGCTGGGCCTCCAAAGGGGCATAAGAAGAACATGAGGAGTGTCTCTCTCTTTTTTAGTTGAGGATCTCGTCAGTGAGGGTTTCTTTTTTGCTTCTAACTTGTGTGTGGCCCCCAACTGATTTTTCTGTGGGTTGGCAGCCCCTGATGCAAAAAAAGGTTCCCCACCTCTCCTCTAATGGAAAGCCAATAAGTAAGAGCCCTTGGGGGATTTAACAAACCCTCTTTTCCAAGCAACCACAATGACCACATTGCCTAACATTTCCCAACGTGCTCTCATTGGACATTAGTCAAAACTCCAGTATAACTATAAGAGAAAATCTGCACCTTTGCAAATTCTGACCCCCAAATCTACCCACATTCTATGTTTGAACAGGGCTACTCTCAACTGGAGCTACTGCTTTTGCACCAAATGTCCCGCGCTTTACTGCATCCTGGCACAACAGTGCTGACCCCTGGACCAGCTCACTTTTGTCCCTCCAAAAATCCCCTGGCTAAATGGAGAAGATATTCAGCAGCACCTACTGCATAGCAAAAATCTGATGTGCCTGTGGCCCACAGCAACACAAGCATTGGGATCTGGGCTTTGAGTCCTGCCAGGGCTGGCATTGCAGGTGCTGGAGCCAGAACTGTCAGCGTCTTGAAAGCCCGCACCCCCGCATACACAAGGGGCGCCCCTTTCACGCGCCCCATTCAACACGCGCGCCAAGTGCAGCTTTGGCTGCTCGACTTGTGACACTGCGGGTTCTTGGGACAAGCCCACGGGAAGGCAGCGCATTTCCACAGGGTCCCCACCCCGTTTCGCCTACGAGCGTCGCCCCTCCCCCCGCTAAGAGAGCAAGCTCCCAAGGCCCCTTCCCAAGACACGCAGGCCAGGGCTGCAGCCCCGGCTCAGGCGCGCGGCTCTAGCCGCCGGCCTCGCTCACCAGGTACCAGACGCCGAGGATGATGGTCCCGGTGCGCACATGGCAGCACAGGCAGCAGCTGTTGGAGTAGAACCGAGCCCACGGGGAGCTCATCGCCCTCATCGCCGCCCGGCTCCGCTCGCCCTCAGGCCGCCCGAGGGTGCCGGAGCGGCGCGTGCCGGTGCCTCACTAAGGCCGAACCGCGGCGCGAGCACTGCGGCGACTGAGCACCGAGAGCGCGGGCGGGAGAACACGTGGGCAGCGCGCGCTATCGGCTGGGTCCCACCCCCAGTTTCCATGACGTCACCAATCCCCAGCACAGAGACAGAGAGAAAGAGAGAGCGCGCGCACCAGCGGGCGGGGCTGCCCACGTGCGGAAAGCGGGCGCGACACGTGCCGGCTGCCAAGCGCCATTAGCGCGGGGCTCTGCCGGCACGTGGCGTTCAGTGGCGGGGGGGGGCGCCAGTGAGCAGCGCTCACCCGTGCGGTGCAGCGGCAGAGACCCGGTCCAGCTGCGGGGGCTGCGAGAGCAAGCGGAGCTGGGACTTGGGGGCCGGGGCGAGCCCCGTGTATAACACACACCGGGGACAGCTGGGCTCTAGGGTAGCGGGATGGTTTCAGCAAAAATACTGGACACACTTGACATTACATCGCAGTGGACATGAGGTCTTATTTACAAAATACCAGACATTTGTATCTTCTCCTTTATATTTTCTAAATTTGTTTCCTGAACAGAAAGCTCAAATACTGGACTGTCCGGTTCAAAACTGGACATCTGGCAACCCTACTGGGCACCCCAGCAGTGTCTGATCCCTGCGAGCGTTTACACTGCTCGGAACAGGAACTGGAGGTGTGTGGCTAATTCAGACATGGGCCAGTAACACGCTGCCTGCAGTCACGGACATAAAAAAATGAAGGTAACTTTGCAGTTTATTTTTAGCAGAGCAGTCCCATCCCTAGACCCACTGAGAACTCTCCTTGGACCCACAGCAGCCGCCCCAACCTTCCTATGGATAGCATGGTCCATACACCATGCTCAATGATTACCACCAAAAGCTTTGATCTACAATCCTATTTATAACAAAAAAAAAGTATAATGGGAAGGAAAAATTAAAGGTGAATTCTATATTTCAATTAAGCATTCTTCATTAAGATGTCTTCCCATCCAAAAGTTTGACAGGAAACATCAGTCTTGTTTCAGGAGCCAATGTTCAAAGGTTCGGATTTTCTGGGTTCCTTGGGAGTGCTCAACCCCCACACTACAACAGGCCCCAAGTCCTTGCCTCTTTTTGCCCTGTTCTGTCCCCTTCCCTGAAAATACCTCACCTTTGTGGAAGCAGGCCCTTAACATAAGTGGGGGAAGGTCAAAGGGGAATACTGAGTGGTGGCAGAATAAGCATGTTTAGGCGGCAAAAGAAATAAAACTGTAAGGCTACGTTTACACTGGCCCCTTTTCCGGAAGGGGCATGTTAATTTCAGAGATTGTAATAGGGAAATCCGCGGGGGATTTAAATATCCCCTGCGGCATTTAAATAAAAATGTCCGCCGCTTTTTTCCGGCTTTTAGAAAAGCCGGAAAAGAGCGTCTACACTGGCCCCGATCCTCCGGAAAAAGCGCCCTTTTCCGGAGGATCTTATTCCTATTTCAAAAATTACCATGTCCCTTCCGGAAAAGGGGCTAATGTAGACAAGCCCTAACAGTTTGGCTCTCAGCCAAGCATGGTAGCTGCTGTATCCTGCCCAGCAACAAGTTTGGGCATGTCAAGTAGTGGTTGTTTACTGCACTATATAAAAGAGTTCATCTGGGTGCGTGCTGGTGAAATCCCCTTGTGATTTCTCCACAGCCCTGTGTATTAAAGTTCGGTTCATCAGGTTTCCGGCCTCCGTCTTGACTTTTCTCTGACACCTTCAACTCTTCCTGCCCCTCAACTCCTCCCCCACACCACTGAAAAGCTGATCACCAGCAGGTGGGAGACCCTGGGGTAAGAGTGAAGAGCTGATTGGCAGTGTTTACAGAGTTAGTGCTATGTTAAAGTTCATATTGCAGCCTTAATTTAGAACCAGTTCCAACCATCCATTCAACTAAAGTCAATAAGTATTGTTCAACAATCTTGCTTATTCTTTCCATTTGGCAGTTTAATTGCAGATAGTAGGAGAGGACAGGTTCACCTGTACTTCTAATAAACATAGGGTTTTATGCCAGTAACAGAGCCTTGTGGGAGGTGATATTTTCTGAGAGGCCAGGAGACTGGGAAGCTGGAATGCCTTGTTTATAGAATAGAGCTGGGAGACTTTGTCTCCAAAGGGTAAACTTATGCAGGGAATACAGTGAGCTGTTTTAGAAAAGAAATCTTTTCATGAAATTACAGTCTGGATGGTCATGAGCCCACTGGCATCTGGTTATTCCTCCATAGAGTCTAAGGAAATGGATACTCCAGGCCCAAGTGATGTGTCCCTAAGTAAGAGGAGACCACAGTGTTTCTGGCAAAGGATTTTTTCTGGAGACAGTGTTGTCATAGTCTCTTCAGGACTGTGATAACATGAGTGATGTGTGGATTCAGATGGTTAAGCAAGGACTTGATTTTATCAATGTCTGGCTGGAGCATCTGGAACAGAAGGTCCCAAGCTCAGGCTCTCCCCCTTTACCGTTTCTCTATCACCAACTATCAGTCAAGCATGAAGGACACAATGGGCTGGCTGGTCCAACAGCCAGCTTTATTTAACACAGTACCAAACCTAATATCTTAGACTAGAGAACAAAACATAAAATCCAGCTGTCACAAAAACAAATCAAAAGCAGTGGCATGAAGCCAAACCCAAAATACAAATAAAACTGGGTCAGTACAATAAGGAGAGAATCATACCACCATGCTCTCAATGATCAGAAGCGAGATAGGAAGATACCACAGAAAGGGTATGTCTACACTACCCCGCTAGTTTGAACTAGCGGGGTAATGTATGCATACCGCACTTGCTAATGAAGCCCAGGATTTGAATTTCCCGGGCTTCATTAGCATAAGCGGGGAGCCG